TATATCACATTTTACAACTACCAGATATAAAGTGAAAATAATATTTATCAATACATCAACTAAAGCTAAAAATAAGACATAAAATGGTTATAAATACAGAATGCATTAAGGCAAAAAAACTGCTGCATACAGCTACCCCCCTCTCGATCCAGCAATGTGCACAAGAGTAGCGGCTCTCTCGGCTCTCTCTCCTCATTGGACAGAGAGGTAGTAGTGGGAGCCATTGGCTGTCAATGAAACCCAGAAAGAAAATAGGCATGGGGCCAAGCTCTGTGTGTCAATGGACACACAGAGCCAGCTTGGGAGCAAGTACGCGTGAGTGCCCCCATAGCAATCGACAGGGGGGAGACCCCAGAGCAGCGGGAGACCGAGAAGGCGGAAGATTGCAAAGCCATTACACAGAGCAGCTAATTATAACATGTTTGTTATTTTAAAGATAAAAAAACTAGGTTTAGAATCACTTTAAATTCTCCCATATACTGTATAAACATGACGAAAGTGCTTATATACCAGTAATAAATAAGAATCCCAGCACTACAGTATCATTTACAAAAACATATGCACACAAAATTCATTCCATTATATTTTCATATACTGCACAGACATCCACCCCACTTAGCATACCTTATACTAAACCTCCCTCAACACTTTCCTCTTTTGACCTCGCTACTACCGAAGAGGTCACTAAGGTTTTCTCAGAAGCCGTCTCACTACCTGCCCCCTGGATCCTGTCCCCTCACAACTACTTTGGTCACCCTCTTCTTCCATCCTATGCTCCCTCACTCACATCTTCAATCTTTCCCTCTCTACTGGTGCCTTCCCCTCCCCTCTAAAGCATGCTCACATCACTCCCATACTTAAAAAGCCTCCCTGGACCCCACCAACCTGAACAACCTAAGACCCATCTCCATGCTGCCATTTACCTCTAAACTCCTAGAACGCTTAGTCTACAATCGCCTGAGCTCCTACCTCACTGACAACAACCTTCTTGACCCTTTACAGTCTGGCTTTTGCTCTCTACACTCCACTGAAACTGCCCTACTAAAACTCACTAATGATCTACTAACTGCTAAAACCAATGGCCACTACTCCATACTCTTACTACTTGACCTCTCCGCTACTTTTGATACGGTTGACCATCCCCTCCTCCTCAAAAAACTCCACTGTCTTGGCCTCAAAAACTCTGCTCTCTCCTGGTTCTCCTCCTACCTATCGCAGCGCTCCTTCAGTGTTACCTATAACGCTGCCTCCTCCTCTTCACTCCCTCTTTCTGTAGGGGTCCCTCAAGGTTCCGTCCTTGGGCCCCTACTCTTCTTCATCTACACCTCCTCCCTTGGTTACTTGATAAACTCCCACGGCTTTAAGTACCATCTCTATGCTGATGACACACAAATCTATCTTTCTACCCCTCACCTCACCCCTTCAGTCTCCACTCGCATTACGAACCTACTAAGTGACATATCGGCATGGCTGTCACTCCACTTCCTCAAACTCAATCTTTCCAAAACTGAACTCTTAGTATTCCCTCCAGCCCCTGCCCCCTCCCCTGACTTCTCCATCGTGATCAATAACACAATCATCAGACCCTCCCCTCATGCCAGGGTACTAGGTGTAATCCTAGACTCCCATCTGTATTCAGCCCCAAATCCAATCACTGTCCAAATCTTGTAGACTTCACCTCCGCAACATCTCCAAGATACGACCGTTTCTAACCTCGGAAACCACTAAGCAACTTATTCACTCCATTGTTATATCTCGCCTTGACTATTGTAACTCCCTCCTCATTGGCCTACCTCATCGCAGGCTATCCCCTATTCAGTCTATCATGAATGCTGCTGCCAGGCTCATCCACCTTACTAACCGTTCTGTATCTGCCACACCTCTCTGCCAATCCCTCCACTGGCTTCCCGTTTCCCAATGGATAAAATTCAAAACACTAACAATAACGTATAAAGCCATTTATAACTCTGCCCCAAATTACATCACCGATCTTGTCTCTAAATATCACCCAAACCGTACTCTCCCCTCCTCGCAAGACCTCCTACTCTCTAGTTCCCTTGTCTCCTCGTCCCATGCTCGTCTCCAGGACTTCTCCCAAGCTTCCCCCATCCTCTGGAACTCTCTACTCCAATTTATCAGACTATCGCCTACTCTGCTCACTTTTAGGCGATCTCTGAAAACCTATCTCTTCAGGGAAGCCTATCCTGCCCTCAGCTAATACTGGAATCTTCTACTCTTCCAACCAGTTCATCCCCCACAGTTACTACCTTTTGTACCACTAGCCCCTCCCTCTTAGATTGTAAGCTCCAAGGAGCAGGGCCCTCAAATCTCTCTTGTATTGAACTGTATTGTTACTGTATTGTCTCCCGTTATATTGTAAAGCGCTGAGCAAACTGTTGGCGCTATATAAATCCTGTAAATAATAATAATATGCTGTATATCAGGGTGTCAGTTTGTAAATAGTCTTGTGTACTACTATGTTTCATAGTGTATAGTATGATATAAATACATAGCACACTGCTTTTATTCAGTGCTTTATGACTGTTATTGAAGTCATACTGCTGCTTTCTGCAACATAAGTTATTAAAGTGGAGGCAAAGTCCACTTTTAAGGTTGTACCTACAGGTAAGTCTATAATAAGGCTTACCTGTAGGTACTGTAAATATCTCCTAAACTTGCACTGTTTAGGAGTTATTCACAAAGCATGAAGCCAGTGATGTCACCAGCACATGCGCTCTGAAGGGGTGGCACAATGTGCCATTCCTTTAGAGTTCCATGCTGCAGCTGAGGGCTCCCGCACACATTCACAGGAGTGACATCATCATGGCTACAGCCATTCATACTGCCCGCAAACCCGGGGGGAAGACCAAGTAAAGATGATGGCACTGGGGAGCCATGACAGCGCGGTGCTGGAGGGCTCTGTGTATAGGTAAGTCTGTTACAATGTACTAATATGTGGTGCATACTAGTACATTATGACTCAAACCCGCAGGGGGGGCCATTGTTTTGTCTTCTGTCCAGGGGTTTACTACCGCATTAATGTAAGATGCAATATTCTTTCCAACAGGAAAATAGCAGTAAAGAAATTGTTACAAAAATGATAAATTGTTTTAATAATATTTAGTCATAAGCACAGAGAAAAATGAATGGTCATCTGTATATCAACAGTTGTATATCAACTCAATGTACAACATTTTTTTCTATATTCATAAACCAAATGTAAAATAAAATTTGTTTATATATATTTTTCAGTTGTGATTTTACATAACATTTTTTATATTTATAGCAAAAGTGAAATTATTAATATTTGCTTACAAGCATAGTTACATAGTTAGTCTGGCTGAAAAAAGACAAAAGTCCATCCAGTTCAACCATTAAAAAAAAAAAAGTTATAACCCTTTACCCACAGTTGATCCAGAGGAAGGCAAAAAAAAAACCCCAGCAAAGCATGATCCAATTTGCTCCTGCAGGGAAAAAAAATTCCTTCCTGATCCCCGGAGAGGCAATTGGATATTCTTTGGATCAACTGTACCTATAAATGTTAGTTTGGTTATATTCTGTGTATCTAAGAAAGAATCCAGGCCTTTTTTAAAGCAATCTACTGAGCTGGCCAGAACCAACTCTTGAGGGAGTCTATTCCACATGCTCACAGTTCTCACTGTGAAGAAATCTTTCCTTGTTTGGAGATTACATTTCTTTTCCTCCAGACGTAAAGAGTGCCCCCTTGTCCTCTGTAATCACCTCAGGGTGAATTACTCTACACCGAGTTCACTATTTGAACCACTGATGTATTTATACATGTTGATCATATCCCCTCTTAACCAGTTGCTACCCGACCTCTAGCCAGATGGCGGCCGGGCAAACAGCTCGTCCATCTGGGTGGACGCCATATTGCGTCCTTTCAGGAACCCGCATTGCACATGCCCGCAGGGCATGTTACTATGGTAACATTATACTACTTTGGTCATAGTGCAATATGAAAAAAAAAAAATGACAAAAAAATTACAACTTCAAAAAACTTGCCATGCCTCTTATGAAATATGTTGCACTGTCTACTTTGCAAAAAGGGGTCATTTGGGGGATATCTGTAATGTTCTGACATTCTTGGACCTCAAGAAATTAGATTGGCCATCAGTACTTCAGGATTTATCGATTTTCAGATATATACCATAGTTTGTCAACTCTATAACTTTCCTACAGACTAAATAATAAATACTAATTTGGGTTATTTTCACCAAAGAAATGTAGTAGAATACATCTTGGCCTAAATTTATGAAGAACAATTATTTATTTTGTTAATTTAGCAATTAGCAATGTTAATTTAGCAAAAAATAAAAACCCCAGTGGTGATTAACCACTTGCCTACCAGGCACTTATACCCCCCCATTTACCAGGCCAATTTTCAGCTTTCAGCGCTGCCGCACTTTGATTGACAATTGCGCGGTCATGCAACATTGTACCCATATGAAATTTTGATCATTTTTTTCTCACAAATAGAGCTTTCTTTTGGGGGGTATTTAATCGCCACTGGGCGCTTTACTTTTTGCGCTATAAATAAAAAAATTGCAAAAAATTTGAAAAAAAAAAAAAGTTTCTTTGTTTCTATTATAAAATTTTTCAAACAGGTATTTTTTCTCCTTCACTGATGTGCGTTGATGAGGCAGCACTGATGGGCACTGATAGGCGGCACTGATGGGCACTGATAGGCAGCACTAAAGGGCACTGATAGGCAGTACTAATGAGGTGGCACGGATAGGCGGCACTGATAGACAGCACTAATGAGGTGTCACGGATAGGCGGCACTAATATGCAGCACTGATAGGCGGCACTGATAGGTGACACTGATGATGGGTACTGATAGACGGCACTGACTGGCATCACTGCTGGGCACTGACTGGCAGCACTGACTGGCACAACCCCTGGGCACTGACTGGTGGCACTGACTGGCAGCACTGCTGGGCTGCACTGGTGGGTGGCACTGGTGGGCAGCACTGGTGGGTGGGCACAGGTGGGTGGCACTGGTGGGCACAGGTGGGTGGGCACAGGTGGGTGGCACTGCTGGGCACAGGTAGGTGGCACTTCTGGGCACAGGTGTGTGACACTGCAGAGTGGCACAGGTGGGTGCACTGCTGGGCACAGGTGGGTGATCTGCTGGGCACAGGTGGGCGGAGCTAGTGGGTGCACTGCTGGGCACAGGTGGGCGGAACTTGCGGGTGGTACTGCTGGGCACCGATCATCAGGGCACTGATCATCAGTGCCCCGATGATCGGTGCCGATCCCCGCTCTGACAACTGCCGGTTCTCGGCAGTACTTTCCTCACGATCTGACAGCGTGAGGAAAGTGCAGCCGAGAACCGGCACTTGCATTTCCCTCTGATCAGCGTGTCATTGGACACCGCTGATCATGTGGTAAAAGGCCGATGTGATTAGCCTTTTACCATATCACGTGATCAGCTGTGTCCGTAGGACACAGCGATCACTGAGATCGCCGGGTGCGCGCCCCCCTGGGGCGCGCAGGAGAGCGCATTCTGGGAGGACGTCATATGACATCCACTCAGAACTGGCCAGCCGCAGTGCAGCCGTCATTCGGCTATCTGCGGTCGGCAACTAGTTAAATACCACCAAAAGAAAGCTTTAGTTGTCTGAAGAAAATGATAACATTTTTGTTTGGGTACAGTGTTATTAATCTCCTCTTCTCAAGAGAGAATAAATTCAGTTCCTCTAATCTTTCCTCATAGCTGATCTCCTCCATGCCTTGTATCAGTTTGGTTGCCCTTCTCTGTACTTTCTCCAGTTCCCCAATGTTCTTTTTGTGAATCGGTGCCCAAAACTGAACTGCATATTCCAGATGAGGTCTTACTAATGATTTGTACAGGGGTAAAATGATCTCTCTCTCTCTCTCTCTCTCTCTCTCTCTCTCTCTCTCTCTCTCTGGAGTCTATACCTCTTATAATATAACAGAGGATTTTGCTCGCTTTAGAAACCGCAGCTTGGCATTGCATGCCATTATTAAGCTTGTGAATATTTAAAACATAGCACAACAGAAGCAAGCCCATGTAATTTACTGCTAATTGTAAATATACACTCAGCTTTAATCAATCCTAAGAAATTTTAAAATATGCTCTATTTGTTTGCAAAGCTTTGCTTTTCTAGCAGATGGTGGGTTTTGTGACGTTTCCTCACTAAGGAAGCTGTTTTAATCCATTCATCTTTGTATTTACTAAAAGCACAGCTGTCACTCAAATACTCTAGTTATGGCTAAACTGTCGCTCCGCAGTAATACCTACACATGTTATATAAAAAGGCAAATACATGCTTATCTAGCTGCTTCATGAAACAATAATATTTGTAATAGTACAACACATTAATACCTTAATTTTAGGTCTCATGCACACTTAAAAAAATTCTGCTTTAAACAGGTGTTTGAGTTTTTTTTTTTCTCTTCCTCTAAACTCCCTTCCATGTTAACTTATGTGTCCATGAACACATAGGCATTTATAGGAGTTTAGAGGCAGGGGCGTTTGGAAGCAGAAAAAAAACATCAGTTTTGCAGCAGGAGAGGTGCACTTTTGCAGAAAAATCCTTGACGCCTGTAAACTAGGCACTTTTAGTGCTTGAGCGTGTTTTCATTTCAATGACCAGAGTAAATTAAAATTTTGGCCAAATGAATGAATAAATGTCCAAGCACTTGACATTCCTAAACGCATTTGTTAACATATAGTTTAGGTGAGATTTTGCAGCTGCTTTTCTCCTGCCGGGAGAAAAGAGTTAAGAAGAGCCCCAGTGTGCATGAAGCCTAAAATGAGAAAATTTCTATACAGTTCTCTAAAGACATATTATACAGTATATCTTGAAACGTCACCAACAGATACTGTAAATAGTGACCACAAAAGAAGCAACACCAAATCCATAAAACTGGATATACTTCACGACTTGTTATAGACTTGTTCACTTTAGACTTTTAATAGTCATACAGTCATTTAAAGAATACATATATCCAGACCTTCTTTTCCCTTTTTAATAAAGTATAGACATATTTAATCCTTGGCATGTTATTTTTCATTATATATGTAAATTCTGTGTTCAGGTGCAACAATAAAAAATAGCAGCTAGCACCAAGAGTAATGATACAAACGCTAAAAAATACTGTAATAATAGTGCAGCGCTTGTAAATAAATATTAAATCTGTGCAAACTGATATACAAACAAATATAATGCAAACAGAAAATTCCCATAAAAAGTCCACCATATAAAGTGCAAGTCCAGTGCCGTTCTCACGGGAAAAGATTAACTGAGTTCCTCCAAGTAGTGTGAATCAAAGCAAAATTAACATGACGCTTCCACCAATCCACCACTATTCATGTAAATACACCCTTACCAGATGATAAGATCACGGTTAAGGTATGGTCATACAAGTTTCAAAGCAATCCACACTTGGGATATATATCTTGAATATCCTCCCGATGTAGCAGTCTCAAGGATATCAATAAAAGTAAGTAGAAACATCAGGAACTCTCATAGTGTAGTAGATAAAAGAATGTATTAAGATTAAAACTACTCACAAGAGTGAATAAAAGCTATGCAGTAACCATGCAATCTTCACAATATTTTTCCTCCTCCACTCGTGCCACTTCCGGATCTCTGTTATCTGCGTAACAACGTCACATCCCGTGGCACTTCCTGACGCATTTTGTCAGAGCTGACATAATCGGGGGGTGGCCTGATCATTTGATAAAATTCACCTGCCAAAATTGTACAGAGCAGAGGAATATAAAAAAGGGGTTGCCCCACAAGCGCTGCTGACCATACTAGAGATAGTTGGTCATATATACAGAGTGAGTGTGAGTCCATGTGGGGCACAAAAGCACTGTCAAGTAGAGCACTTTAACATTTTTGGAGCACTGGCACTTTTGCACCAATTGGGACATTATTGATGATTTTTTTGGGACTGAGTGTTCATAATAGTTTTATATATATATGGTGTACACAGCACAAGGTTCATACACTGTACATACATGGTGAGCACAGTATAAGGTTTACACACTGGTATATATTTATTTACTAGGAATGGTTTTACAATTATAGGTGATATGCGCAGTTAGAGTATTTTATATTTAACTTTATCAAAGCTATCAGGTGACCCAGAATCAGGAGTTCCGGGTCCTGATCATTAGTAGTCATTTTTGCCTGGTCTGAAGCCATTCAAAGCCATTCAAAGGAGTGCAATGAAAGCAACCGGCATACTTCTACAATAGTCTTCTGCTTTGGGGCACTAGTATATGAGGTATTAAGAGTCCGCACTGAGAGAGCCATCCTGTTGGTAGGAGGAGGGGGGAGAGAACAATTTTAACAATAGTTATAGCTAGGGTTTTTTGCATTTTAAGTACAGTGACCATTCACATTGCAAGATGAACATTCTGTACTTATTTAGTAAGTCAACCTCACTGCCACATTATTCTCCATTTCTATTTGATTTGGGTCTTGTACAGAGTTGTGTGGAAATGGCATGTAATTCACTTAAACATGGCAGATTTAATTAAACCCAGACTTGACTCCCTAACTTTGTTTTTCTTGATCCCACAGAGTTTGAAATAATAAATGAGTGATCTCAGTTCAGTACCTGAAAAGGGTATGACACATCTTTCGCAGAAATGTCTACTTTTTGCTTACAGCAGATCTATTCTGTTTTGATAAGTATTCACCATGTGACGAGCTTTGCTGAAGAGACATTTTAATTCTGCTTAGCTCCATGCTGCATGATTAGACAAACAAACTGTGTTTCCATAGTAGGAGGTGTCATTGCTGTATTGATTTCATTTGAATACAGACTTAGCGTTTCATTTTTAGGTTAGAATAAAAAAAGATGAAGCCTTCATTAAGCGGTTTTTTGCTGCCTGCGTCCCTTTGTGGAAATGTCTGTTCACTTCTTGTCCTGGGGACGCAACAAGGAAATATGGGAAATATCTTCAAAGTTTTGGATAGCTGTCACAGAATTTTTATTTCACCTCCTGCTCTGATGACCCTTCCCTACTCTATCCACAACTAAAAAATATGTTGGATAGATTTGTTTGACTATTTGCTGTCCTTACTTCTGGAACCTGATTTCTTTGTATATATGACCTTTGGGATGGTCTGATTGCCTTGCATGCAGAATTTCTCGCTTTGTTCTAACTTGCTGTCCATGATAAATCAGCAGACGCGTTAACACACATGGTCAGAATAGCACCAGTTGCACAGCTCCCGATGTACATAGGACAAAGTCTTTTGGCACACTAACTTATGAAGGTCGGTGCTTCCTGTAGCTGTGCGTGCAGACTTATGCTGCCATCTGTTGGCGTGTTACAAAACTAATCTTGAAACTTTTTGATACCACTATATATATATATATATATATATATATATATATATATATACATACATACATACTTTTTTTTACTTATTATTCTCTTTTTTGTTTTTGCAAGACATTCTGGCAAACATAGCAATTATCCTAACTCCTCTTATCAGAAGCAATGGAATACCAGGCATAGTGTAATTTCAATACAAACTATAGCTTGTACCAGGAGCCAGATCAAAAGGTTACATTCCTTTCATTTGTGAAATACTCTTCTTTCAGACATCTTTCTTTATACCCGGAAAATGTTAAGATACTTTTAAACAGGCAACAGCATGCTGCATTTGTGGTGGGCACTTACATTACATAAATGACAAACAGCTACAATATTCTAATGGGCATATGAAAACCACTTAATCTACTAGTCCCTTAACAGTTGAAACCTTAGTCTCCAAAAATAACTAGAAAAGAGACAGCCATAAATACAAGATGTGATGCTTGCAAAGCCTTCATGCATTATTGAACCTAACATTTACCATAAATATATTTCATTATGAGGATGTGAATGTAGACATATCTGAATTTGAAAATGTGGCCAAGACAATATTTTTTTTAATAAGCTATGGAAATTGCCCTTGACCAGTTTCATTATAAGAAAAAAGAAGCACATATGTCAATATATGGTAATAAATATAAAACAAAAAAAAGTGTTATCCTTCCTTTAAAATGATATTGTGATTGATAAAATATTAGGTTTGATCTAGTTCCAATAAATATTGCAGTCTTGTGTTATCTTAATTATACTGTTTAAGCACTTTTCTTTAGATAATCCCCCATCCTACCCCACACATTTTTTTTAGCACTCCAGAGAATTTTGTCAAGCAAAAGAACACTACCTAATGAGTTGGAAATGTTTCAATGAAGAATTGTGAGGGTGGCTAAAAGGATGAGGAGTGTGACCTATGCAGGTCAGGGCATGGTCAATTATCTCACAACAGTGATAGCAGATTTGCAGATTCCGCCTACGGTTGTA